TGAATAAACTTGCAAACTTTCTTTGGTGAGTATCTTTATAAATATTGAGATCAAATTCTTATGATCAAATTGTTGAAATTTATGGATGAAATACATGCAAACGTAAAAACACCCACCTATTAAAGGAGTGATTAAATCTGAAAGTGGAGCTAAGGAAGCTACATCCTGACATTCATTCCACTGAAGTTAGGCTTACTGCTGAATTGTGTTAGACACACAGAAGGAGAGCAGAATAGGAAGTTTCAACAGCAGTACCGTATCTGATTTACAGTCCCCACACTGCAGATATATTAGAATCTGTCTTTAAATTACAGCCAAACCCATTCACACAGTAACAGATAAAAACCTTTCAATAAACCAAACATTAACCGCCACATATCTGACTCAATAACTATTTTAATTTATTTCAGATGGAACTATTCACATACTTGGATTATATTAAACTGCACTTCCAATATTTTTAACTATTTGCCGTCAGGTACCATGTTCGTCTGAGCATGGAGCAGCCAGCTTGCTTGGACTCGCAATGAATCATGGGATACCCAAGGCTACGTAGGATACACCGCACACGTCCTTCAAACGGGCAGAAAGAAGGATGCATTGTCGGCCGAACAGACCTCGGCTTCACAGCAGATATTTTCAACAGTTGTAGTGATGAGTTCAATGACATTCAGCATTTGCTAATGCAATACGTGACGTGTAGATTTAATTAACCCCACTGAGCCTTCCCTGTTTCAGAGAGCAGCACTGGCACCCAGAGCTGTTGTTGTAAAATAAGTTTTCCTTTTAGCTTCCCTGTTACAGGACGTCCCACATAATATTATGGGTTAGACGTGATTTTGCCTAATATATATTCACAGCTTGGCCTCTCTTTAACTATACTAAACTAATGTCACAGTTTCATAAATGACCTAATTAGTTTGCTGTTTAAGTAAACAAAACATCAAAATCAAACAAACTGTATGAAAATGTACGTATTTGGTAAATCTGGAGTTTTCTGCAATATATCACTAGAAAGTACTGAATCTAAAACTTGTATCTCTACCACACACTAAATGGAGAATATACACAGCATTAAAAGGACATACCTTTAAATTTGTGGAAAACAGCCCAGAGTTCAGCAATGTCTGTGGCAAAAGTAATATCTGTGTCAAGAACAATCACCCTTTGCAGGTCCAAGGGCAGTGCCTTAGTGAGCACCAGTTTCATGAGTCCGTAGATACCAGAGTAATGTTTATTAGGGATCCATGACACTTCAGACTGGAAAGAAATCACAAAGCTCAGGTTATGTTGTACACTTTCCCTAGTTGTTCTAAAGTTTTACAGGCAACGCCATGCTGAGGATTTCTGCATAAAGTTGGTAGTTAGGTGGTTATAAAAGGGTTCATTTCCTCACCTTAAGCTCATCTGCATCATAGAAGTTCACCCTGACAGCAGGGACCATCCAGGAGTGAAACAAAGAGGAGAGAATCTGCTTTGCGATCGAGTCTGTGATGAAATGGAAATGAAGAGCGTTCCGTCTGAAGATAAAATAAAAACATTTTAGTGCAAAATCATTCTCCTGTGAGTGCCCTGTGCAGATAGAAACTTAAAAAAAACAAATGAACAGAAAAAATGTGCAAGAAGCCATTAACTTTTACCACCATGGTCGTGCAGGTTAAATACTTAGTCCTATTTGGTAAACAATCGGGTTTTCTTGCCGTACAGCTCTCTAAATTAAACTGAAAGCACTAAAACATTCCAGACCCTTCCCATGACACTACAGAGCTATAAATGTTCCTTCTTTGCTTTAGAAAAACAGACATCTTGATTGTAATATCCTGCTTAAAACAATGTATTAATATTGTGTTTTTTCCAGGTGGCTGCAGTGGCACAGGGGTTAAAACTCACAACCCATAGAGGGAGGCTTTGCTCTTCCATGCAGAGGTTCCAGTCCTGGCCTGGTGACCCAAGCTGCACGTCTTTCCCCTTTCTCTACTCCTAATTTCATAAATCCCAATAATAAAGACCACTAGAGCCTAAAAATAACCTTTAAAATGTTTTGTTTCTTCCATTTAGGTTTAATTTTTCTTTCTTCTCTATTGTGCCCAACTTCTTCTATTCCCTTCGATTAGATCACAGTTAAGGGTTACTTTTAAGAGACCCTTAAATTAAAATTTAAGGAAAAAATGAAAATAAAAAAAAGAACTAATATGAAGTATTGCGATATTGACATTAATATAGCTCTACGTTGTAGTAGCCGTCTAAAGAAAGACGTACCTGTGGAAAAGGACAGACTTAACCAAAGTTACTACGTCTCGGCTGGCATTGTAACCGGCACATACGATGGCCACATGGATAGTCTGGGGATAGAGGGGAAAAATAATAAACAAACTGGATTTAGTTACTTTCAACATCAAAAAAATCAAAAAAGAGAAAACATGCCACCATTTTTTCACTAAATATATATTCGTAGAGGTGCTACATGAGATTTTGTCAGTAACAATGCATGCAATCCACACATACAAAGAGATAAATCATAGATGTCCAGAAATTAAGTTATGTGGAATGGCACAGGGGAAAGTATGGAACACATGAAGAAAGAGAGGTGCAAATAGACATAGGAAGCCAAGACACCAGGTGAAATATCTCAGTAATTAGAAAGCATTCCTGCCCCTTTTCAGTGCAAATTAATATCAGCTGGTTCAGACCTAAATGATGGCCTATAAAAGAATTTCTGATATCACACAAAAAAAACATCACGATTAGGGCTGGGTAATTTCGCCAAAGTCCTGAATCAATTCGATTTTGATTCATTCAGTTCTAAATCAATTAATTTCAGTTCGATCTGTTTTTACAGTAATAAAAGTGGTTCAACTGGGTTTCAAAATATTAATGTATTTTATTTTTTCCTGTCATATTAAACACAAAGTGCAAACTTGTAAATCAGACAGTGTAAATATGAGATGTGAACAAAACTGTCTCATACGTGCAAACTTGTTTGTGAAACGTGAAAAAGTGAAGCGTCACTCGAGCGAGCAGACGTGACACATTGGGGACACAGCAGACATGCATGAGCTGCATTAACTTCAGTGAATCAAACCATATTAGCAGCGCTGTCTGTAACTACAGGGTGTTTTCTGTTCTGCCTCCATGTGTTAATGTCTTCAGTCAACCTATTGGCTATATTTGCAGCTGTCTGGCTTGAAGTCATCTTGAGTTCATCTTTCCTGCTCATTTGAATGTGAACGTCACGCGCGTCACTATTAAACGAATCGCTCTAATTTCCTAGACATCGATTTTGCAAAAATGTAAAGGAATCGATTTAAAATCGATTAAATGGATTATTTTACCCAGCCCTAATCACAATGGGTGATGGGTAAAGAGCTTTCTAAATCCCTTTGCAAACTTAAGGATGGCATTGGTTTCTAAACCTTTGAATGTCTCAGTGAGCACAGATCCAGAATCAATCCATTAATCAATGTCTTTATTGTCAACTAAAATTTACGTGGTAATCGAGATTTTATTTTCAGTATTAACCGTTCGTCACATAACTCACATGCATTGGGGCAGCATTCTGCCAAGAGCCCCACTGTGAGGCAGTTCCCTTGTAGTGCTGCTTTTATCTCTGTGAAAAGATAGGAGCCACTATGGGGAGGGAGAGGGGGGAGCATATTTCACACTTTATCCTAACCAGGATACAGTTTGAGATATAAAAAACACGTCAGCACAAAAAAAGCACAAACATTTCAGCAGAGGGTGGAGCCACATGAAAGGGATGGCATTGGAGTCAATGAGTCGATGCAATCAAGTGGTTTTGAGATGATATGTGTTGTGAATTGTCGCTATAGAAATAAACTGAATTGAATTAAATTCAAAGTACCTGGTTTCATCCCCAAAGCCTGGAAATATGGGTGCAGGAGCAAGACCCTTAACCCCACACTGCTCCCTGGGCGCCACACAGTTTCAGCCTACTGCTCCCAAAGATGATGGATCACAATGCAGAGTGAATGTCCCCATTATGGGACAATAAAGGGATTGACATTTCTGGACATCTATGTTTTGATTTCTTTGAATGCTTGGATTGCATGGATTGTTAGTGACAACTGATGAAAATGTCATGTCAAAACCCCCTCTAAAAATATATATTTACTGAGAAAAATGTTGGTGTGGTTAATACTTATTTTACCCGCTGTGCATATATCAAAATATATAAGAATAAAGCTAGTAGAGCTTAAGAAATGCAGTTCTACAATAATTAATGAGTTAAACATCAGTTAAAAAAACATAAATTCAGTTAAGAACTGATTAAAAAACTTAACTCTTTAGGTCTTTTCTGTTAAAACTAACCTGGGTTATTGCTTCAGCAATACTGAGTAAAAACTGAAAGGTTTCTAAACGACGCAGACGATGGATACATGTCACCTTTCCAGTGGGAAACTAAAACCAGGTGATGTGGATACGAGGCGTTCCAGCTGCAGTCGGAACAACTGGAACCCAATCAGAAAGTCAGAGAGCTTTTCAAGGCAACCTTCATGTCCGACGCGGCAACTCTTCAGAACAACAGCAACACACACTTGTAAAAAGATGCGTCTAAAATGGAGAGGCTAACAAATTCTATAAGGCGTTTGTTAAAGCTGACAACGGTCCTGAGATCCTAACAGTTTTCCTGGAATTCATTAACTGAAAGTAAGTATAATTTAACAGGAATGGATATTTTCAAACAAATCAAAGTAAAGAACAGCAATGATGGAAGGATGGATTTCTATTAAAAGGGAATAATCTATTTCTGAGTTAAAGAAAGCTCAAACTTATTCTGCGTCTAAAGGAAAAGTTCCCTCATATTCAGAATTCAAACTTCTGAAAGTGCTTTAAGCATTAAATTATTCCATCCTGTTCAATAAATGATGTGTGTTTTTAATTAAGAGTCATTTTCATTTGAATGTGCTTTACTGGAGGCATCCATGTTATTGTAATATTGATCGTTTCTTGCTGACCGTACCTTTAATTAAAAACTTGCAGGTCATTTAGATGAGTCGATATGGCGGTGGATAGGCCCATGTATAGTTGGCTTTATTTATTTATTTTTGTTGTTGCTCGTTGTGTGTTGGTGAACATGGTGTATTTTTTTTATATTTTCATAATTATCTGAGTTAAACAGGTAATAATTTATTGGGAATTTGGGCAGATAATTTACGTTAGCTTCTTTCTGCTCCTTTCTTTAATTCCTGTTTTCAGTTGTCAACTGCTCAGGTTTTGTTATGTTGTTTTCTTTAAATGAATAAAATAAATCAACTTTAAAAAGCTGTTATCTTGGGTGTGACGTCATTCCCAGCTCAGACTGGAATAATTAAAAGTCACTGATATCTACTGAGTTATAAACATCCTTTACTCTGATTCCACCACCTTTGAGGCTTGGTGAGGGCTTCATTAAAGAGTCAGCTTTAGTTTATTTTTAATCCTTCCTGCTTTACTTTAAGCCATTAAAGGTATAGTGTATATAAACAAGGTTAGATTTAGGGAGTAAGGCAAACCTGAAGCTCTTCTTACCTCACATTTATCCACCAGTTGCTGTTGTGAGCAATTAGAGCCGTTTCCAACAGCCGCATTTTTCTGTCCTTCATTGTTAAAGGCGCCTTGTTCTGAAAGAGCTCGGCTTTGCTTTCCTCGGCCGGTGCCATTTGAATGGGAGGCAGAGGAGTTCCTGGGTGGACGACTGAGCTCCTGGCGCAGCGCCCTGTTCTCCTCTTCCACCGCACGGATCCTCAGCTCCAAGGCTACCCGCGCATTACTGTCGCCCAGTGGAGAAGATGGCTGGGCTTCCAGTGAAGATAGGGGGAGGGGCTTCACTGTCGGAGTAGAAGAAAGATGCATTTATTTTACAGGTCGGAAAACACACAGGAATACAGTTCAGCAGCATTGAGAGTTTTAGGAAAAAAGGGGAATGGCAAAGGTTTTATTGGAATAAATAAACATCTATACTAGAATAAAAAGCAAGCCTTCTCTTCAAGGGCAATTTCCACCATCCTTGCACAGATGTACAACACATCATGCAGTCAAACGGTTTTCTATTCATTTTTTTAAACAGTTAATACTGCGGTTTTAAGGCGTCTTTGTTAGAAAATGGGATCATTAAAATCTAGAGGATTTTGCAGACATGTTCAAACGTTTTGATGCTCGATGTTTAGTATTGATCTTTTCCTTTCCAGCATTAATAATTATATCCAGCTGAACATATTTGAAAATGAAATTGTTTAGTTTTAATAAGATTTGTAGAAAATCTTTAGACATTTTGATTTTTTTAATCCAAGTTGGATCAATAATTTACACCAAGAATTGTTTAACTGTTCACACAAAAAAAACAACCTTTTAAAGGCAATAACCTGAAGAATACATATGTTTGAGGCAATATTAAAATAACCAACAAGTTAAATTGTGTGCAAAGGTAATTTGTGCAAATCAAAAGCTGTGCAATGAAATGTAAAACTCAAATATAAAGGATGAGTAAACCCTTTTGAAAGCCAACATTCTAAAAATATAGACTGGAGAGGGACGTACCTTTAGAATATTACCAGAACCAAAATATTTGCAATCAAAAGTGAAACTAAAATAGGAAGGTCATTGTCAAGAAATTTCATTTTGTTCACTTTTGGTGACATCGCACCACAATGTGCAGTCAGAGCAACTTTAAACCATAAAGGAAACACTAAGATCTCTCCTCAAGGAAAATAAGTTTTAGACCCTTCATTTTAGGTTTTGACCAAGTTGGAAAAGATTGTGATTTTTAAAGACTAAAAACTTTCCACTAGGAGAATATTTAAATCACCCAAACATCCCTATTATTCCCAATGTTGTTTCAAACATAACTATTCAAATATAGCAGAGTGGTGTCTGCAGTTCAGTGCAGTGAGGAATGCTCTGATCTTTATAGTGGAGAAACCAAACAACCTCTCCACAGACACATGGCCCAACACAGAAGAGCGCCCTCCTCTGGACAAGACTCCCTTTCTATTTGCATGTTTTCTAAACACAAACAAGGCTTTGTTGGACTACGGTATAAAACCTGGAACTCAACGCTATTTCTGACATTTTGAATTGAAAAAGCTTCCTGGATGGGAAGAGATACTTCCTCAAACTTGAAACAAAGTCCTCATCAAAGAATTTGGTGAGGCTGTGCTGAGAGGGTATCGGTCAGCTTTAAACCCATCATGGCAAACTGTCCAGCACCTCTAGAGTGGAAAGCAGGACTGTGTTAATGCTGTATTCATCTGGGTAGAGCTGCTGACCTCTGACACTGGAAGTCTGTTATATGCAGGCGACATATGCAAAGCCTAATGCTCATAGGGCAACAGGTAGGGACCCTAATTGAAACAGGGTTCCTACAGCATGGGCAAGTTACTGGCAAGTTAAATCCAAATGCCTTTTTAATGGCACTTGAAATAAAAAGTTAGCACCAACTTCACAATGCACTAAAGAAAATCCTGGTTGCTACAAATTTACCCAAATGTTTATTTTAATCATTACTTTCTGTCCCAGTAGATGTTTGAAATTTTAAAAGAAATTCTATATTGGAAGAAAGTTAAAAACGCTTAAACAACAGATCTATTTTTAACAACTACTGAGCTGAATTTATATATATAAATAGCTGTGCTTTCATTGTCTGTGTCATGGCTGTAGAGGCGTTGTAGAGACAAAGGTGGGACAGTACGGGGAACAACCTGCTGCTTCTCCTAGTCACCAGATTTTAACGCTTCACCCGTGTGCCACCAGGGGGTGCATCAGTTTAGCCTTTCATCCCATTATGCACAGCCAGAGACATAACATAAAAAAAAATGGCTTTTAGTTTCAGTGGCCCCATCTGGCCCCCCTATGAAACATTTCTGGAGGTTCCACTGCGCTTTACAAATTGTACTCACTGCCTTGATTCCCAGGCCCTGGTTTTAGCCACTAAGAAAACTCTTGGCTGGATTGCCAATTTTTGCTGAATTTCCCCTTCCCCATGCTGTCCAGGTAAAAAGCTGGCGTTGGATCACCCCAAGGTACGGCTGCAACATGGTTTTTATTGGTTCTGCTATCGGGACGGAACCAATAATGGATACAGTAAACATAAACGTAAAAGAATTGTAATTTATTTTAATGATTGATATGATTTATAAAAATAAAATCTTATTTCAATTCAATTCAGTTTATTTCTATAGCGCCAATTTACAACACGTGTCATCTCAGGTCACTTTACAGTTCAAATTCAAAGTTTTCTATCTAAAGAAAACCAGTTGATTGCATCGACTCATTGACTCTTCAGCAATCCCTCATACTAAGCATGCTTGTAGCGACAGTGGAGAGGAAAAACTCCCTTTGAACAGGAAGAAACCTCCAGCAGAACCAGGCTCAGTAATAACAATTTAGGCCTTAGTTTTATATCGAAGAATTAAATGCCTTTTAGGAATTTTTAATGATCCATGGGAGCCGTGTCTAAAGACAAAGTAATTCTATTCCCTGGCATTTAATAAAAATGTATGCTTAGGCATAGGAAGCTGCAGAATTCACATTAACCAGATACAGAAATTAACTGTGGAGAGTGTGTTTGAGAATTTAAACCCAAGAAAAACCTATACCACCTATACAGCCATAATTCTTACCTTGAAAGTGTCCAATTGATAGGTAAAGCCATGTGAATGAGGGAATGAAAAGCAAGGCAAGAGAGGCTGCCAGGAACTTTCTCCGCCCACGAAATATTCCCAGCATCTTCCGAGCCGAAGTCAGTTTTGAGAGGTAAACTGACCTCTATGTAGGTAGAAGCTTTTGTCGAGGCTCATTCATGACACTGTGAGTGATAGAAAAGGAAAAGATGTTTAGAGAAGAAGGAAACATCATGCAGGGATTCTGCACTTAGTGAAATAGAATGGGTCTGTTGGTGTCATTAGTCCGATTGTTTATTCTGCCCCATTTATCCAGTTTCTCAATCAAACCATATCAGGGCATGGGAATATATTCAGTAGCAATCATGGTACTTCACTAACTGAGGTAAAATGATACTGTTTAAAACAAGTTGGTAAAAGTTTATTACAGTAAAACACTGTAAATGCCATTTTCTTCTGACTTTACCTTTGAGCAATTTTTGTTCACTAGTTTATTTTTATTACTGAAAGCAGGAATCTCTAAAAGGAAAAGTTTTTTCAGCAAGGAATGATCGATGGATCAGTATTTATACCTACGTAAAACTAATATGTTTGCTGTGATTTAATGAATTTAGCATTAATCAGTAGCCTAAAAGAACATTTTTTTTTTTTTAATCGCGATCACCGAGCGGCCATTTTTGCCCAAATATAGCAACACCTGCCATCTTCCAGCAGTGACGTCACGGTGCGGTAAGCCTAGCGCCATTCTCCCCGCTTT